AATATTCCTACGACTTTTGATTACTGAGTTATCGCGGATTAAATAAAAGAATTATTTTGACTTTAATTGCTCATAACTCCATTAAAAATTGTCGTATCGTATAATTTAAAAAAGAGATTTTTAAAGCTGAAACTTTACTCTATCAAGATATATTTATATTGTTGGTAAAAAAATAATTGCGGTTTTTACTGATAGATGTTTTTTAAAAAAACGCGATGACTTTTTACTTAACCTAATATTAAAAATACATTTGTACATTTATTGTTCGGCTTTTATTTCAATTTCTATCTCCCAAACTGCTGGACTATTAGTACGAAATTATAGAATTTCTGTTATTTTCAACGTTTGTATCTTGTATATTTGACACTTTTGCAATTTTCACGCCCATAGACGACGCGCCGACGGATAGACAGAGAAACGCGAAGTGTCAGCTGCGACGTTCCTTCTCAGGAAGAAAAGGCGAGGCCCGAGAGGGGATAACCATGAGAAGAGTCATCCTTGCTTGCGTCATTCACCTGCCGGTGTCCGCGTCCGGTACCGTTTCGAAGTGTCCACTACTTTTGAAACCTTCGGAGCTCCGGAGAATCGAGCACTTCCGCGCCCAATCGTCTTGCGACGAAACTCGATAATCCTGCTAATTAATCCTATTTCTTTTTAGCTTCCGTTTCGCTTATCGGACGACGTCGGTTTCAGATTGATCCTTGACGGAGGCTCCTCCGTCGAGTTATTTCCCCCCGTTATTGTTGGAAGATCCTGTCGGATCCCCCGATTGCGTCGAGATGGCAATCACGAGATGCCAACGCTGCATATTCGCGCCTGAGAGGGATATTACTCGAAGTTGCACGAGCTCAACGAAGCTTTGTACCAAGATCCGACCATTCAATGACGATTTATGTATTTATGTAAAGGCTACACAATTCCAGACATCTCAAAAGAAGAGTGCGAATTCCTCGCGTAACGTTCGCATAACAGAAAGTAAAAGTAGAAATACACAAGGCATTCTAAACTTTATTTTCTTCTATTCCAACAGTCGCGAATATTTATTATTTTCTAACATTATGAGCATTGAACTCGTATATTTTATCACTGTCAAGTTTAGCCCCGACCTTTGTAAACATCCTGTATAATGTATACAGTGGTGTACAATAAAATCCTTTTAAATACAATATTACGTGTAATTTAATATCGTATTTAATTCTACTTGATCGCGTGTTTGTAAAGTATATTATTGCGAACGGCTCATTAGATAAACGTTACGACGTTGCGTCAGAAATAAATACAGATGTCCAAGTACAGATTTACCCTCCAAGTAAATCGCTCGTCCGAGGAGAGATCAAGGTGCGATCTTTTGCGAAAATCGAGACGACCAGGCGAGAAGGTCAACGCGAAGCGGCGCGGGCGCAAGACGAAGGTGACATGGTCACGGATTGGCCTAGCCCCTAAGGTTACGGCTTGGTTTTGCAGCCGGGCTTTCTAGCACACGGTCGTGTCGGTCGTCGGTCGTCGGTCGGTGCCGTCGATGGTAGCCCTATCCCGGCCATTGGCAAATCGAAGGAGTCCAATGAGCAGATAACGCGGCCGTTTCGTGCGGCCGATGGTCTCATTGCAAACGTGGTGGAGTGAATGCACGATGGTGGTATCGGTGTTGGAGAACGACGGTGGAGAAGGAAGTGAACAACTTTCACGCGACGCCGCCGCCGCCGCCGACGACGACGACGACGATGAGCTTCTTCGTATCGGAATGCTACCGCGCCAACGCCGGAGTCGACTCGAGGGAGCAGAAACTTACGACCGTTATATCCCCTTAATCCCTTCGGATCCTTCCGCCGAAGATATTTCTTAGATGGGGATAAGATAGACGAAACACGCGGTAAACGGTCACTTAAGGGAGAAATTGTCGGATGAATAAACTTCCTTACTCAATATAAACTTTTCTTGGAATTAAATAAGATTAAGCGACAAAGAAGAAGGAATGAAATTAAAATATTGTTGATAAAAAGAATTGTCGACTTTTACCTTGCAACGAAATTTTTCACAAACTAATGCGTTGTCGAAGAAATTATCAGCGACGGGTTTAACTTGACGGTATATCAATGTTTTGTGTTTTTTAAACAATTTCTATTGAAAATAACAACGGTATAAAGACTCTTTATGCATAAACAAAATAAACAAAGTGAACGGCGAAAAAGAGTCGACGCATAATACATTTAATTAAAGATAATAGTCATAGATACATAAAATAAGAAGAAGTAGAACGGCGTATATTAATATATAAAACAATTACAAGTTTCTATTGAGAAAATATATATATGATTGTGTAATACATATATTGTAATATGGTTCAAGTGATACAAATTAATTGAAATTATGTTGAGAAGGGTTACAATAAGAATAAGATTGAATATAAATAATAAGTATAATATAATTAAATAAACACAAAACAAAATATATAAGAACTGTACAAATGTAATGTAATAAACAATTGACATAAACGTATTTAGATTATAAACGGCTTAATAATAAAACTAATAAGAAGATATATAAGATAAATACCAGTTAGTGAACCTGACCCAATTTGTTCGATACAAAGCGATACAAAATTTTCAATATTAAGATATGCATGAAATAAATTTGTTGTTTATAAAAATTTAATATCAAATTAATTTAGAATCGTGCATACCATTAAAGGCTTTATATTTGAAACGGTTTCTCATTTTATTCCAACCATTGATTTATTTTATTCACTATATATTTACCACTGGTGTATATTTACCTTAATTGTCACGGAGAATATCTTACTCAGTCAACCAGATTTCTCGATGCTTGTTCGGAATGATTTCTGAACTAGTGACCTGCGCTTCTGCGAGATGCAGGATTCGAGGAGTCGCGCGGAATCAGGTTTTCTCCCAATTGGAGCGATTAAATCTAAGCAGCACAGGATACTCCTTCTCCCTTCCAGCGTTTATATTCTCTCGGCGTCTGATAGACGACCCTCGCCGTACACGAGAAACGGACGAAGCGAAGTGCCCTATACACGCATCGCCAATTATTATATTAGGGATCCCGCACCGCCAGGATGCTCCTGATTCTTTCGTTCTTCATTTTTCTTCTTACGCGAAGAAGATTCCGCTTCCCTTCGGTCCGTGATCTCGCATGCACAGCCGGACGCACGGACGGATATTAGAATCCCTTCGCGCCCGAAAGGGTCGAACAGATGTTTTAGTAAACAGGTGAATCTCTCGAATATCGAAGCGTGTAAGATCTCAAGGCAACAACGGGGAACAACAGGCGCGACAAAATTTCTTACGTACATGAATTTCCGTGGACCAAATACATTTTTTTTTTTTTTTTTCTGTTAACATTTTTCTTTTCCGTTAACTATCCTAAAATTGATTTAAAGCAAAAAAAATAGCCGCGGATGAATGAAGAAATATATGTAAGTTGCTTTTTCAATTCAGAGGGAGAATACGTTTCAAAAGTTCGGACGATAATTTCGTTTGCGGGAGACGTATTTTACGTTTTCGTCTTTGCAATTCCGTTTCCTTTGTAAAATCCAAATCTATATTTTATGTCAAATGCGTAACGATCGAGTTAACAGACTGTAATTACACACATCACGTGCTCGTTCGGTAGAACCGCGTTCGCGGTTCTAGGATGTAGATTTTCGTTCGAATAAATGCCCGACTGTGTCTCGCGGACGAGGGCAATTTCGCCTTAATCGACGTATTCACGAAGATTAGGTATATGCTCTAGGATCGTGCGCTCGCGGAGCCTAATGATTAGCCTAATGGGAAATCCGGGTCTGCTCTCTCTCTCTCTCTCTTTCTCTCTCTCCCTACAGCGCGGGGTCACCGAGTTTAGGTGAATTCTTCTATTCCGAAGTAGACAACCTCCGGATTATACTTTGTTTCAGAGCGCGGCAGCTACCAGTCGAGATTTCACCAGGTCAAGACGAGCGAAAGAGAAGTTCGGGAACGATCGGGAGCGAAATTTAACCGTGTTAATTTGCAAGAAAAACTTATCAAGGAAACGTTGTCCATTATCTATTAGAAACTGTCTAATGGGAAGTCCTGAGAGACCGCGAGACTGCGTCGTTTAATAAAGAGTTACATAAAGCACTCGCATTTTTTCGCTGCCCACTCGAGTGCTGTTGAATCAATCTGACAATGAGTGGGAACTATGAATCGCGGAGCTGTTGATAATCATTATTATTATTTTTCTCCACTCGACGCTGGGAGTTCGCGAGTATTCCGCTTTCTAATATCTATAATAAAATGACAAGTATGATAGATAATTGTATTCACGCTTATTTCGTACTGTAATTTCCAGCAGCCGTAGAAAAATCTACGACGAATGGACGAACAAATAAAATTACGGCAAAAAGACGAAAGCAGGAGACACATGGCGAAGCGAAGAAATTCCACGGAAAATAGCCGGATGAACTCGTCGCGCTTGTGCTTACGCGACAGTGCAAAAAGGAAACTCACCGTGGGGAGAAAGAAAATTGCAGCGTGCGGGCACAATGAGAGTGGGATAAATATAAGCGTTAGTTCTCTTTAATATAGGGAACGCGGGAAGAGAAAGAGAGAGAGAGAGAGAGAGAGAGAGAGAGAGAGAGATACGGCGTCACCCGCGGTATCGTTACGTGGCGCGCGTTTACGCGAGCGAAGGACGCACCTTTACGTATCATCGATTTCCACTGTGAGAGGAAAAACCGCAGTCGTATGATCGAAGATAAAAATCAATTGTTGTCCCTGAGCGAACAGATCGAATCTCGCATACGCGTATACCGCGTATTCATTGATTTCACAAACGAGATTTACGGCGCTATGACTAATCTCATGGACAGCGAGATACAGAATATTCCTTGTAGAATTGTTAAACGGAAAATTGTGGATGCGGTATACTGTCGGAGTAGAATCTAATAAAAAAAAAAAAAGAATCCAAACATCGCAACGTTTCAGAATCGTATTAAAATTTATTTAAAACTAAACAAAAAAAAAAAGAATCCAAACGAGATTATTTTTCCATCTAATTTAAAATTAAATGATTTCGTCTCTACTTATCAACGATTTCAGAATCGTATTAAAATTTATTTAAAATTAAACGAAAAAAGAAAAATAACAGTTTTAATAGCTTTCGTGAAAGTATACAATATCGTACGACACGAAGTGAAGTCGACATATTATGCGTAAACTCGCGAGGAGGAACGTGACGAACGCATTGTCGCCCAGTCGAGTCGTCTGCTCGTCGCCGTCACAATCAAACGATTACGTTGCACGATGAGGAATCGATCGGTGCCATCGAGAGGCAAAGTTGCGGACAATAACGGCGCTGTCGAAGGTGGAGAGTTACGACGTGGCGGCGAGTTCCTCGGTCGCGCGCCCACCCTCGGCGTCGGTATCCAGACTCGCTGGAGGCACTTGAGTCGGAGTCTCGATTTATAGTCAAGCGGAATTAATATCAGTAGAAATATATAATCGTGACGCATCGGATTTACGAAAGTTAAATAATGAAAAAGTAAAATAGTTTGGATAATCCGTATTATGCATGCACATGAAAAAAAAAAAAAAAGAAAAATGTAAATCTTAATACATATTTCTTTAAATTAAATAAACATTTACTAACAGCAAATAAATATTTATTCAATAAAAAGAAATTACAGTTAAATCAAATTAACGGTTCTTGTATCAAATAAATTCTGTTTATATTTAGCAAATATTTATTTAAAACTATTCAAACGAATATTTATTCAAATTTAGTATTTTCTTTCTTTCGCTGTACTTAAAAAACATGATTTATATGATAAGCATAATTTATAATGCATGATAATGTGCCGAGTTAAATAATATGATTGCGGCTAATTACGATTCAAGGCACTGCCTGATTTTTCGCTTATTTAACGGATCCTGTTAAGGCAACAAAGTAATCTCCACTCACCTTCGATTGCCGCATCATCGTCGTCTTGTAGGTTCCACTGTCTTCGAGGCAGTCATCAATGCGCCCTGGCGATCTTGTGCATTCTATGCATTGGCGACTGCGCGTCCTTACGTAACGTGGCGACGTGACGATAGTTTATTCATGTAACAGGCATGGCCGA